GTGTGTGTGTCTGTGTCTGTGGGTTTATGAATAAACCTTGTCAACACACATTCTTGAGCCTGAACAAAACTGCAGAGTCAGCTGAAATATGCTGGTACCACACACACACTCCTGTTTCTTGTTCTCTTGAGGCTGCAAATTGTTAAACAGGCCTGTGGTCAGCGGGGAAAAAGAAATGCAAATTCTCAAATTGAGATAGTGAGATCAGACTGAAGAGGCAGTAAACCGAGGGAAATGTCGGGGTTCATATAATTCTTTGTGTGTGAAAATGTAAGCGGGGGGTGCATTCAGTAGCGCTGGGAAGGTTGTGTGCATTAGTACATCAGAAATACCTTCTGTATGCATGTGTCGTGAGTTGGAAACGATGACTCAGCAGTGCTACAGTAAGATGGATACTAGAGTTTAATGGAGTCTGATGGAGGCCGGCCTGCTGTGGCTGAAAAGCACAGAGACGCCACACACTTAACACACACACACACATACACACACTAGACCACTACATCCCCATTAACACTCCACCATTCAAGGATGACCAACTTTCCAGTTGTAGAATTGTGTCTTTCTGTTTAATTTTGGGTTTTATCCAAGTTGGTAGTTGGTGGTTGTGGTAATATGCCTCTATGTTCTTTAAGTCTTTAAAATGGCTTTCCCATGCAGGGGTGGAAGTAGAGAACTATTCATGGCATGGCAAGAGCATAGCATGGCGACTTTAAAGAGTGGCAGAAATATGTGCTTAAAGGAATCACAAACAATCACATATATCAATATTTGCTTGGAAAAGCCCCCAAATGAAGATACTTTAACTCACAAACATTACATTGTGTCACATTAGTAAAGCCTTGAATAGAAATATCAAAAGGTGGCATTAGAATTCAATCATTGAACGTAAGCCCATCACTTCTAAAATGCCACCATAAAAGATCCTTAAATTAATTCACGTGTGTTCAACATTTGACACCAAACTCAGTTTTAGGCATTCTTCAGGCATTTTTTAGTCACCCATCTAGATCCACTGTTATTGTCCCTAGTTATTTTCAGTCTTCTCTCTGCACTGAAACTGTTCTGTTTATCTTTCCCTTCCTCTCCCCTTCGCTCTAGTTTGTCCTCTCCCTCAATGGTCAGCCCGCCTTTCCCTTTGTTTTTTCATATGATGTGGTTCTGATGTAGTTCAGCCCACCTACACGTTGTTTTGTAATTGCTATTTTCCAGATTCACCCAGTAGGCTGTCTACACTCTCTCTCCCCTTGCCAGATTTAGATTTCAACAAAACATTATGAAAAAAGTCACACGTCCTCTCCCATAAGCTTTACTGTTTCTTTAACTCTCTGTCTGCTCAATGTGTCATGAGTTTTGTCTTGAGTTTGGTTCATTTTGTCCTCATTCACCTTTCCATTCCCATACCGTAGTTCCCACAGTTAGACACCAGCAGAGATTTGCTTCCTTGTCACCTTTGTAGTTTGCGCTCTCAATCGGCTTTGACCTTTTTACGACAACCCTGCCTCCACACACACACGTCCCCTTTGGCTAAACCAAAATGGGTTAATCCCTCATCACTCAAACTGTGGACTGCGCCAAATCATTCAGGACCGGGGGGGGGGCGGTGGCTCAGGTGTCGCAGTCCTGTTTCACTCAAAGGAAACCTGATCATGTGGCAGTTCAGACACACATGCGTGGACATACATGTAGGGCTACAAACATGATGCAGACATAAAGGATTGCACAGACTTACACTCGCACTTTTTCTCTGCCCCAGTTTTTCCATCTGCAAAAGCATTTGAGCTAATGTTGTTAACCCACAGAAGTAACTGAACCACTTTGGACAAGTTTTGGAGTGAGACTGGACTTTAGCAGCAGGGTCTCTGTCCATTGTTACTGTGTTCAAAAGGTGTACTGTTCCTTTCTAGTTGGTTCAAGCTGTTTTGTCTGACTGGTGTTTGTAAAACATAAACCCTGAGAGTGGACTGTAACAACTATAGTATAGCTGTGGGGTTGGTAGTGTTAGCACAAGGCATCTATTGTGGGCAAATTAAATCCTCCTGGATGCTTTTCTCCTTTTGCAATGTTTACTTAACAACAGTTCTGTAATTGTGAAGTATTTTGGAGGGTTGCTGGCTGCAGTAGTTCTTCTTTCCATACTGACCATTTGAGCCCATTAAGCTCAATTGTCAATGAAACTCAACAATCCTTGTTCTGCACATTAATGCATTCTGTAGTTCAGCCGAAGCTAATATGGCATTTCAGCAGTTCTGCCAAAACAAGTTGTTAGTTGCTATTGTTAGGGTTTTTTATAGCACATTTTCACAATATTTGTTGAGATTACGTTCGTAGTTAAATTCATTTCAGTCTCCCTTTTTATTTTGGCACAGTGCTAAGGCGCTAATGCTAATCTGCAGGTAGACTTGCTTTCAGGAAGTGAGTGAATAAATTCAATATTTTTTGAACCTATACTTGGTTATTATTTTTGTCAGGAGGTGTAGTATAAAGAAGTATTACTAGGGTACTAGATTAAATATGGCTGAATGGTGGTTAACTCCGGACACAATAGGTTGATAATTAGCTTAAGGCCCCTTGTAGCCCCTAGATATTTTCAATATCAGAACCCTTTGTGGCATACTCTTTCCAACTTTAAGTGGTTTTTGGCGGGTTTACACAAAACAAAAAACATAAAACATCATGAATGAATTTAATTTTTATACAAACAAAATGGCTGCACGCTAACTAGCTTCCCTCACACAAATCTACTGTTAGCATATAGCTTATCTCTAGCTCATTTAGAGGCTAACTTAGAGCCTCTTCACGTTTTCCCTCAGATTTTTGGGGTTTAATTCATCAATATAAGTGCCTCAAGAATGGGGCTATTCTGCTTGGTCACAGTTTATTCTAAAATTAAAAAGATTTGAATGAATAATGAATTTATTATGGATACAGTATTGCACATCTGCAGGCTACAGATACACATGTAGCTTACTGTTTGAATTATTACCGACCCTTGTTTCAGACCTTCACATCATTTATCTTTAGGAGAAACCTTTCTCATTAAGTTGGATTTTGAATGTTCACTCTGTGCCTGTAAAAGACGAGAGCTGTATTTTGATTCCTTGCACCAGTCCACATTGAACACTGTGTTCAGTCCGTTATGGAATGCTAAAGGTTTGGACTATCGCCTGTGATTGTCTGTGCTATTGTAGAGGCAAATTACTTGTTATGAATGTGGATTTTGTTTTGATGACCAACTGAATCACCCGGAATGTTTACTCGGCCTATGAAACTACTGTCTGGAAACCTTTTTGATTCGTACCAACAATTTGCACAGCCATTCGCTTGTCTGTGCTGTAAATTGGTCACTTTGTAGCTTTTTTCACCAACACTAAAAAAAGAAAAATACCATTGTCATTGTCATATTGTGCTCTTAATTGTGCTATAATTCAGCTGTTCATACTTGAACAATAGTCACATAGATTGGTAAATTACTATGATGCTGTGAATGCTACATGGAGACAAGCAAAGTTTACTTTAACCTTATCTGTCCTCTCTTCTGTTTTTCTCTCCAGGGTCGACATGTCAAGACAGGACAACTGGCGGCCATCAAAGTCATGGATGTCACCGAGGTCAGTCAACACAATTCAACATATATACTTTTAATATTTTCATTAGCCAGGTTTACAACCAAACTGTACTATTAGTAGTTTTTTATTTTTATTTTCAGCGTTTCCTTTCAAGTTTTTTTTTTTTTTTTTACACATTTAAAATGCGCATAAAAACAGGTGGATGGAATATAATTTATTGTTGTCAGTGTAGAAGAATCTTTTTTAACTGCATGATGGCTAAACTGCTGCTGTACAGTTGAAGGATTGTTGAATTCTGTAGAAAATTTTAAATCTTAGTCGTCTTTTCTGTGTCGTTTTTTGCTAGTAGTAGTGTTTGATGAAGCAAACTGGTTCTTTTGTTGACTCGGATGTTTGAGAGATGTTACAGTTTGGTTTTACACAGCTATATTGAAATATTTCCAGTTTGAAGAGAGAATTGAAGCAGTAGTAATATGGGATAAATGCATTAAAAATGCATGAGGTGAGACTAATACAGCGGCTGTAGCAGTTACCAAACTCACCATAACAGACACAAAATCCAGTTTTTGCAGATTTGGAACTCATCCCAAATTTAGTTTCATTGCATCTGTCGGCCTTAATCGGTGCTAATTCTTCACTCAAGCGTTCAGTATAACAGTTAACACCAAAACAAACAGTTTCTCTGACTCCCCTCCCCCTTTTCCCTGCTTCGGCACCCTCATGTCAATATTTTCTCTCCAGAAATAGTCCTAATTTTCAGGCTTATAATCACACGGCTTCCAACCCCATTTTTTACTTTATTGAATAAACCTAAGTTTATGTTTGAAGCCCAACAGATTTTCAATTTCCTGAGGGCAGTTCAGTGTTAAAGATTGAAGCCTGGTGTTTGTCTGTTTGTGGGTGCAGCATGTTTTCAAGCCCATGGGCGCATGCTTTCCAAGTTCCACAAAGCTGAGTAAGGACCAAAAAGGCTGAGTAATTGGAGGCTTGTTTGTTTGTGTGTATACACACAGAAATGTCCAGGTAATCTTATAAAACTTCATCTTGCTATGGTGGTGGTAGTGAGTGCTTTTTGCCTTTCATGTTACTCATCGTTGAATAAATGGCTAAATGAGACAATAGGAAAAATATTCACAAACACACATTTGAGGTTGCTTGACCATTTACTGCCCAGACGCCTTAAAGAGCAATGAGTGTATCATCAAGGCTGTCACATAAAATCCTTTAATCTGGGTCAACCGTTCTACTGAAGAGGATTGTACTGTCTGTCTTTTAGGACCCTGCTGGTTTTAGCTGTATCTCTAAAAACCATAATACTTCACCCAAAGTCCCATCTTTAGGACAGGGTATGTAAGGCCCCATTTACACTTGTTATTTCAAGTGTTTCTTTCCCTGATAAAATCCAGTTGACACTTTAATTTACACTCATACGCATCACTAATATGTGTCTCTGTTGGCCACGTCACAAATACAGTCTGTCTGGGTTTTCCCAGGCTACATGCAAATCATGGTCGGCTCAAGAAGGAGGTGGTGGTGCACCTGAAGCTTTTAAATGACTGCCAAAAATGGCCAAAATAAAAGCAAGACATATGTTTTATCGTCTTCATAGGAGAAAATATGTATGTTTTTTTTTAATTAGTGATACATACAAATGCAGGTCCCACTGTTCTTGTTGCTTCTGAGGCATGGTTCCCTTCAGAAGCTGTAACATAGTGGTTCAATCACATGCGTATTGTGTATATTGCATGCAAGTGATTGATGCATTTTGTAAGTGGCACTATAGCAGAGCATAATGGTTCAGTGCTATTGTTTGACTCTTAAGCGTAACCCACCTTAAGGAACCATATGTTATTCTATGGAGACTAAGACTAAGAAAAACACTTCTATTTAAAAAAACAACCACCCTTTGAATGGGATGGCAGCATATATTGAACAGTGTTTTGTATTCTTCCCCAGGCAGCATTTTATTTTTACACTATGGAATATTTGCCGCCTCTGCAGTCTTCTGCCCTTTTTTACACCCCTCATGGTTTTCCTGTGGCTGCAGTCTGTCACACTCCTGAAGGAAAGAATGACCACAGCAGTTCCAGTCAGTCAGGGAGATCAATCCATCGGTGAACAATTAATATTTTGTTCTTGTCGAAGAATGGACAAAAAAAAAGAAACCATTTGATTCAAAGCTGACTTTTTACAGCTAGGCCTGTAAAGAAAAGAGACTAACTTATCTTAGAATCATAAGAATTTGAACAGTTTCATTTCATCTGTCGGGATTTCAGTGGGAGGTTTTAGTGAACTGCGATATCCTTTTTTTGGCCACCTGGAAGCAGTGGAAACAAGCTGTGAACTCAACATTGGCATATCATCACTTTTTAAGTTGACAAACTTTAGTAAACAGTTGCCTATTTAGACATCTGGCAGATACGGAGCATACTTAGATTTCAGTTGCAGTTGTGTTTCTGTCCACCTGGTAAATGGGAGCACACTATATTCGCTCTATTGGTTTTTGCTCTCCAAGACCTGAGGGGAATTTCTTGCCCTTTAGCTGCTACAGGCTTCACTGTGTTCCCGATATCTGTGATTTGGTGGTGGACAGGTAGCATACAGTGGGTTTTTAGAGCTTTTTTTTTCACTGAACACACTTAGGAACACTTAGAACGGTGATGGTGAACCCAAACTGTACATTTGCAGAGCTTAAACTTTAAAAGGTTCCTTAGAGCTGAGGGGAACAGCAGAGTTGAGTGATAATTCTTAATGTGTTCATCACTATGAGTGACCCCTTCTATATGCATGAAGCGGCGTGATCCATTGCTAATGGAATATTAATTATAGCCGTTTTAAAGGCTTTCCCTCCTTCACTGAATATACAACAGAAAAGTTTAGGTGTTAAATTTGAAGAAATTCAGTAATTGTGGTTATAGCTGCATCCTCCATGATTTATTTTTGATTAGTGAATGTACTTAAGCTGCCACTGTGGCAGGTAACCAGATACAGTTTGGAAGTCAAGTTAATCTAGTTCATGGTGAAATATTGAGAAAGCAGAGTTTGGGAGTGTACTGTGGCCTACAGGCACACATTTCCATTTCCAACTGTGGAGATTAAAGAGAGGACATGAAAAAGGATCAGGAATATGTTTATGAATTCATACGAGCTCAATGACTGAAGAGAAATACACATGTGGGGAATATTCAAGACCCGGCGGTTCATTTCTTTTACCCCTCCAAAATGTTTCGAGTGGTCCTTTTCCACGCGGTTCAGCCGTTTTCTAAAGTAAACACTCCGAATTTGTCTGGATGCTTGCCAAGACTGACAGTTGAGCAGAGGAAGTTGTTTGCATTGGATACACTTTTCACATGTATACACACACACCACACCAACACAGCGACACACACACACACACACACACTAAGCCCATGTAACATTTACTTGTGTGGGATCTATGAAGGGAACCACAGGAGCTGTCACACACTTATGTGTCATGCAAAAGAACACAGATATACATCTCCCTTCGTTCGTGTGTGTGTGTGTGTGTGTGTGTGTGTGTGTGTGTGTGTGTGTGTGGTGATGTGTGTGTGTCCACTCTCTACTCCCTGTGCACATCTCGGGATATGTGCTCTGACCCACATACCACTTCCTGTTCCATATACAGAGTGGGAGAGAGAGACACTTTAAAGAAGACGATGACGAGTGAAATACAGTGTGTAGGGCTGGGCTTTATATTTTACCACCACTGTTTTCATATCACTATAAATTGATATATGCAAGCGATCACGATATAATCAATTACATACTTCTGTTGAGCTTATAATAGATTAATTTTAAGTAGTTGTACTTGTATATTGTATACTTCTAGTAAGAGTTGAATCAACCAATCAGCGTGTTTGATGCGCAGGTCAGCACAATGCTTTGTTGAGATTTGGGAGGTGTGTCCATCTGCTCCCTTGTGACCTGCAGTTAGTGGAGGATCAGACTGGAAACAGCCTGTAGAAAAGCAGCTCAGTTCAGACCGGCTTCCATCAAATGAATGAGAGGGCTTTGTTTTTTCACGCAGGGCTCAGGTCGGTATGAACGTGGCCTTACCCATAATAGGAATAGATCCCATATTCAGCATTTTTCTGATTATCTAATCCGATAAAATAAATGAATTTAAAAATGCACTACTTTGGCTGTCTGTAGTCACGCCCTTATCTGATTGGTTACACGTCACGAGTAATGGCCTATAAACACTTGGCGCAGACAGGGAAATGGAAGTACTTATACAAAGAAAAGTACAAATTGCACTTAAGTACATTCCCTGAGTAAATTTAGTTAGTAAACTTAGTTACACACTTAATTCAAAATTTTGACACTAAGATTTTCATTTTTACTGCAAATATATATATTGGTTCCAAATGTCAGTTATCGGTTTCCTTGGTTACTAATAATAAGTATCTGAATCAACCCTAAAACACATTGGTTGACCCCTAATCCATAACACCCTTCTGTGTGTAGGTTTGCAGACACCTTTACATGCATCTTTGCAGAAGCATCCATCCGGCTTTAGTGACTATTTGTCTTTGTTGTAGAGTTGCTGCTTAGATGTTTTTCTGAGGCTCATTTCAGGGGACGGGTCTAATTGCTGGTGTTTGTGACAGTAAGCACTTTGCGTCTGTGTGCTTTGTTGGATATTTCAGGTGATAAACTACATTTATGGAATTATCCGTCTTTGTTGGTTAATGATTTAAGCAACGTTTAGAATATTCTATACATCAGCAATCTGTTTGGTGTCTTTCTTTATGTAAACATATCAAAACACCACTAATGTTTTTTCTACCTTATTTATGCACAACAACTCTTTATGGTTAAGGTTTTTGTTACTTTGCCCATTGATATTTGTCATTATCTTTGCTATAAACACTTAAAGTTTCCTCTGAAGGAGCGTTTCTCTCTCCTGTCTTTCTAATTAACATCTGATACCAAACCAAATGTGAATGTGGTGTGTTGAGCTAACTGAACAACCCTGCTTGAATATTTTCAAAAGTGTGATGTTTGCTCCTGAAGGACTG